TCAGCTGTTTGCATAACTGGGACCTATTCACTACATTGGGGGGGGCATGCTGTGACCCATAGACTACAGGGTGAATATCACCTAGAGTGTGTACTTTGTTTTATTTAAGCTACATTTTTTCCCCCTCACAGAGGAGGTAAATCCCAAGACGGCTTGACAAATTATTTAGACAGATTATTGGTGACAAATGAGAAAATTTTCTAGGTGCCCTTTAAAATACTTTGTGGAAAATGCAAAATCAGCTGAAATACGTTTAGCAATTACCTTCAAGCTGACAGTGCCTTTTGATGTACGAATCATTCTCAGGCTTCTTGGAATTCTGCCAAAGTGCGCCATTCACATTTTTCCTGTCTAAAGTAAAAGCATGGAAAACATTCACCTGCATTCATATCATATCTGTGAAATAACAGGAAAGTCTATACAATAATATCAGAATGCAAATCAAAGAAGCCCAACAGTACACTGTAGCATCTGCTCAGAATATGGACGTGAATAAATGGCTTTCCCAAAGTGGATATTTGATGGATGGATTTTAGTGTGGCAGAGTACAATTGCATCTTCTATTGACATTGCCTGCAGCCTCATCTAACACTGTTTAAACATTTAAATTAGTTTTAATACTATAACCTCTGATCTCAAGGCTTTGACATCAGCATTCTGTGGCTTTCCAGATATCTTTTTCTGGTCTAGGATATATATAAATATCATTTAGATGTATAATGTAATGAACTAGTTAGTGTGTATGAGTACCATTATTTCCTTCTGGATGGCATCAGAACTGCCCAAATGTGTATCCTGGGCACTATACGCCTAACACAGATGCCACTTTAGCTCAAATGGGAAGGACCAATGCTTTTGAAACGAGAAGATCAAACTTCTCTCCCCATGGTAAGCTTCCAAGTGGCCATGGTGTGCAGAATATTGATAGCCATGATGCTCCTAGATGGCCACAGTACAATTGTTACAATATACTGGGCCTCACCCTGCTATTCTCAGAGATCTTTCATTATGAAGGTATTAATTGATTCCATGAAAATGACAGGAATCTGTTATAAATATGGAACTGAATCCTATAGTCCAAATAACATTGCCTTTTAGGAAAGCTTTCCTTGTGTAAGGCTGCAGAATCAAGTCCACTATGAGCATATATGTCCTAAAAAGAACATTAAATATGGGAAACTGTAGAACTTTTTGAAATGGGGATTATTTATGACACTGTTAAGCAATTGTGCATCCCTAATTCAGTCAGGATATACAAAAAATCCTGAATACATAACTACAAATTTTCAAAGACTTCACACTGAAAATCAGCAATTGTAACCTTTACAAAATGAATAAGTGTAGAAAATAATCACATTATTGTTTAAAAAGTTTAGCTGACAAAATAGCACCTGTAATATCACAGCTGATCAGATAGATCAGGGGTCGGCAATGTTTGGCATGCGGTTCGCCAGGGTAAGCAGCCTGGCGGGCCGGGCCAGTTTATTTACCTGCTGACGCGGCAAGTTCGGCCGATCACGGCCCCCACTGGCCGTGGTTCACTGTCCCAGGCCAATGGGGGTGGCGGGAAGCGGTGCGGGCAAGCGATGTGCTGGCCGCGACTTCCTGCCACCCCCATTGGCCCGGGACAGCAAACCGCGGCCAGTGGGGGCTGCGATCAGCCGAACCTGCCGCGTCAGCAGGTAAATAAAACTGGCCTGGCCCAGTGCTTACCCTGGTGAGCCGTGTGCCAAACGTTGCCGACCCCTGAGATAGATAATGTAATTTAAGAACAATATGTAACAACTCCAGAAATTTTGCAAAAATAAATTCCTTCAGTAGCAACTTTAATCATGACCCACAGCAGCCAAGCAAAAACTATTTATTTTTAATAAAGGGAAATGGGAAGAGATTAATTTGACTACATCAGTGGGGTTTCCCTTCTTCATTTAAAAGGATAAAACAAATACTAAACATTCTGCATCTCTGTCTCACTCTGTCCAAAGGCCAGATTCTTTAAAATCTTCATTTGGTTTCTGCATTAATTTGAATTTTTAGGGGGTTCTGTGAGTAGATGTAAGCTGCAACCTATCCTGATCCAAAGGAAAGAAAAGAAGAATAGTAAAAGATCAATAGAACTACCTCAGGAACTCTTTAAAAACCTGAAAATCAAAAGGAATCTTACAAAAGGTGGAAATATGGTAAAATTACTAAGGGTGAGTATAAAAGAATAGCACAAACATGTAAGGAAAAAATGCATAAAATGAATTGCACCTAACATGGGATATAAAATGCAATAAGAAGACTTTCTATAAATACATTTGGAGCAAGAGAAAGACAAAGGAAAGTGTAGGTCCATTGCTTAGCAGGGAAAAGAAATCTAATAACAACAGATGACACCAAGAAGGCTGAGATGTTTAATGCCTATTTTGCTTCAGTCTTCACTAAAAAGGTTAATTGTGACCAAATGCTTAACTCAATTAACATTAGTAAAAAGGCAAAGGAACACAAGTCAGAATAGGGAAAGAAGAGGTTAAATAATATTTAGATAAGTTAGATGTATTCAAGATGGTAGCACCTGATGAAATTCATTCTTGATATATAAGGAACTAACTGAAGCAATCTCTGAACCATTAGTGATTATCTTTGAGAACTCGTAGAGGATAAGTGAGGTCCCAGCAGACTGGAGAAGGGCAAACATACAGTAGTTCCTATCTTTAAAAAGAGGAGCAAAGAGACTCAAGAAATTATAGACCAGTCATCCTTACTTCAATATCTGGAAAGATACTGGAACAAATTATTAAACAATCAATTTGTAAGCACCTATAGGATAAGAGGGTGATAAGTAGCCAACATGGATTTGTCAAGGATAACTCACACCAGAATAACCTAATGTCCTTCTTTCATAGAGTTATTAACCTACTGGATGTAGGGAAGCAGCAAAGGGAATATATTTTAATTTTAGAAAGACTTTTGACATAGTCCCACATGACATTCTCATAAGCAAACTAGGGAAGAGTGGTTTAGATGTAACTACTGAGCAGGTGGATGCACAGCTGATAGAAAAAACACACTCAGGGCATATCTATACTATTGTGCTACATTGGCACAGCTTGCACCACTGCAGCACATCTGGTGAAGATGTGTTATGCTAATAGGTGAGTGCTCTCCCTTCGGCATAACTACTCCACTTCCGCAAGAGCTGGAAGCTATGTTGTCAGGAGAGTGTCTCCTGCTGACAGTGCAGTGTGAACAGCGCTTTAAGTTGATGTTACTTACATCACTCGAAGAGTGTCATTTTCACACCCTTGAGCAACATAAGTTACATTGACTTAAGCAGTAGTGTAGACCAGCCCTCAAAGAGCACTTATCAATGGTTTGCTGTCATATTGGGAGGGTGGATCTAGTAGGGTCTGACAGGGGTCAGTCCTGGGTCTGGTACTATTCAATATTTCCATTAACGACTTGGATAATGGAATGGAGAGTATGTTTATAAAATCTGCAGATGACACCAAGCTGGCAGACGTTGCAAGCACTTTGGAAGATAGGACTAGAATTTAAAATGACCTTGATAAATTGAAGAATTTGTCTGAAATCAACAATATGAAATTCAATAAAGATAAGTGCAAAGTACTACCATTTAGGAAGGAAAAATCAAATGCACAACTGCAAAATGGGGAATAACTGGCAAGGTAGTCGTACTGCAGAAGAGGATCCAGGGGTATAGTGGATCACAAATTGAATACTAGTCAACAATGTAATGCAGTTTCAAAAAAAGGATAATATTCTGGGGTGTATTGACATGAGTGACATATGTAAGACAGAGGAGGTAATACCCTATTTGGCACTGGTGAGACCTCAGCTGGAGTACTGTGACCAGTTTAGGGTGCCATGCTTTAAGAAAGATATGAACAAATTGGAGAGACTTCAGAGAAGAGCAACAGAAGTGACAAAAGGGTTAAACCTGACCTAGAGGAGAGGTTAAAAAGACAGGATAGGTTTAGTCTTGAGAAAAGAAGACTGAGGGTGGAGGGGACCTGATAAGTCTTCAAATATGTTAAGGGTCATTATAAAGAGGCTGGTGATCAATTGTTCTCCATGTCCTCCGAAGCCAGAACAAGTGGAAATCAGCTTAATCTGCAGCGAAGGAGATTTAGGTTAGATATGAGGAAAAACTTTCTAACTGAAAGGATAGTTAAGTACTGAAACAGATTACTGAGGGAGGCTGTGGGAATCCCTGCCACCAGAAGTTTTTATGAACAGGTTAGACTAACACCTGTCAGGGATGCAATGGGTACAGTGGAATTGCATCATAGGCACATTTAATTTACGTGATTTTAACTATACGCGCTTGGCAAAACAAAACAAAAAAGAGAAAAATAACAATTTAAATACTGTACCTACAGTGCGGGAGATTCTTCCCGCCATTCTACTCAATGAGCGTTTGACTATACGCGATTTTCGCCTTACGCGCTGACTTCAGAACCTAACCCCCGCATAAAATGCGACTCCCCGTATACTTAATCCTGCCTCAGTGTGGGGGGATTGTCATTCCAAGCTGACCCAGTACTCCCCCCTGCAGGCAGGTGTGGTGTTGCAGGCTAGCCCTCAGTGTGTGTGAGAAAAAAAAATCAAGTATCACAAGTACAGACAGACTGTTAGACACTAAAGAGCACCCCCTTTTGGAGGGCTGCATTTGTTAACAGAAAAGCCAACGTGTAAAAAAAAATTTCATCCCAACATTTTAGCAGGATAATGAGGACACTCTTAGTCTATCTGTCCCCCACCTAAGTCTACTGTTCACCTCTATTCAGGTTCTTCCCTGGGGGGTTCTCTTGGTTCTGGTCTTTGTCCCTGATGTTAGTTGTCTTGCCTCTGCCAGATTAAGATCCTTTTCTTGAGCCAGGGATCGGGGGAGGTCTATCCACTGGGAGTCTTCGCCACAGACAGTGGGTGTTACTTTTCAGCCTGGGATTCAGCCAGTGTCAAGGAGATCCCCAGCTTTCTTGAATGCCTGTCAACTGCAGTCCTCTGTTTATAAGGCTCCCCTCTGTAGGAGCACCTCTTATAGGCTCCCCATTCGGGTGGGTTCCCCAGAAAGTTCACCCTGTAAATTCTCTGCTCAGGCCCTCCTGGGAGCTGCCCTCCTCAGAAGCTTTCTGTCTCCTTTGGGAGTCCTCCTTTAACTAAGCTTGGGTAACCGTTAGTAGGTCTAGGGGTTTGTTTACTCATCAGCCACTGGGGCAATCAGTTACCCCCAGTGGGCAGTCACAGGCAGACTGGGCCCTAACTCCCCGTAAAGGGCAACTGCCTTGTGACGGGGATGGACTAGATGATCTCTTGAGCTCCCCTTCAGCCCTAATTTCTATAATTTTATTACATGCATTTTTCCTTTTTTGCAGGTGGGGCAGGGGCCTACAACATCAAGAAAAGCAAAACTAAGTCTTAACTAAATTTGACTCTGAGAAATTAGCAAATAAAGAAAATGGTTTAAAAAGTTACTAACCAAATGCTTCATTTTCAGACATGGACTTCTGGATGGATCTAAAAGAAATTAAAGAAATGTACCATTAGCTGCCATTTAGAGTTAACAAGTAAAATGAATTTTTTCAAATACTGATATTTTCAGACTAATTCTTCAAAGCAGTGTTTATGGATTTAGCTGTGCCACTCCCACTGGTTTTAACTGGAGTTACTCAGCTTTCCTCATACACACTCCATAATGGAGCTTTGAAAGTTTATAGATATTTATTTTGCAAACTGTTACTGTTGGAGTCTCTTTCTGTAATGGAGAAATGTTAATATTATAGTTAAGTAGTTTGTCAAGAAGATAGGAAGTGATATTTTTCCTAGAGATTATCAGAATCATCCCGGAGTTGTAGGTCTTTAGACGCTCACATTTGCTACCTTGCCAATGGACTGAACCAAAACGCTGGGTCTGAACAGAACTGACTTTAGGATGCCCAAAATCTGGGTCCAAATTTTGCACCTCAATCTCCTATCTATTTTTGTATACCTGTATTTGATATTAATATACCTACATACTGCTCTAATTCATTGCGCACATATCCATTTGCAGTCATTTTGCATCAGCATTAGAAGTGTATACCAAGTTCAACTTAAAAAATAAATCACTCTGAATCAATATGATGATAGCCTGTGAATTAATTTTCTCCATCCTATCCACCTCCCCCATAATTAGTAATCTGTGAGCTGTACAATGTTCCACATAAAACAGACAATTTTTGATCCATCTGTGGTGATATTATTTGAGTATCAAGATGGTTGAATTATTCATTATGAAATATTTATTGTAAAGTTAGCCTTTTTTAGGTTGAATTAATCAATTTTCTTCTTACTTACTAATTATTTATAAGTATTGACCAAACTTCTGGACTTCCAGATTGCGAGTTGTTCACAAAGTTTTGACTTGGATCATTCACTGGTTTTTTTTGTATTTTATTGTTGATCACCTGGGTCATGTGTTACTGATTCTATCCAGTGATATGAATTACTGAAAATTTTTAACCTTGTCCTAGTCTACATTTCAAAGTTTTACTATATGTCAGTTAGGGGTGTGTTGTTTTACTGCAATAGGTATACCAGTAAAAGCTCTATCATGGACACAGTTATACCAGTATCAAGGTGACTTACACACTGATATAGCTACTCCCTTTCCCATACACTATAATCTATATCAGGGGTCAGCAACGTTCAGTACGCGGCTCGCCAGGGTAAGCACCCTGGTGGGCCGGGCCAGTTCAGGTTCGGCCGATCGCGGCCCCCACTGGCGGCGGTTCACCGTCCCGGGCCAATGGGGGCGACGAGAAGCCACGGCCAGCACATCGCTCGCCCGCGCCGCTTCTTGCTGCCCCCATTGGCCCCGAACGGCGAACTGCGGCCAGTGGGGGCCACGATCGGCCGAACCTGCCGTGTCAGCAGGTAAATAAACTGGCCTGGCCCTCCAGGGTGCTTATCCTGGCGAGCCGCGTGCTGAACATTGCCGACCCCTGATCTATATGGCATAAAGCACATTTATATCAGTATAACTGCGCCCATGCTAAGAGGGTTGTACTACTTTAACTATACCAGTACAGTTAAAGTAGACAAGCCACATGGGAATAACGAAAATCACAAATGATGCAGTAGCAATATATGAACAATCATTCATGCTAAAATTCATTACACTTTTGAAACTTGTGAACATTTTCACAAGGACCTGGTACTTATCAGAATACTGACCAACAACTAGTAAGACCTCACAAATCATAGCACACTTATAAATCAGTATTCTTAACATTTGACCAGATGTAGAGTAAGACCATTGGCCAACATCATGAAGTTTTCCCTTTGTCTTTGAACACTTTGGTATCTGAATTTCTCAACTATATTGCTTGGCAACACTTATTCTGAAGTTATTAGAGTCTACATTTAAAAAAGCAAAACTAAACAAATAATTCATACAGAGTCCAGGGATTTTCATGTCTGTCACAGACAGACAGATGAGCTCTCCTTCAAACATGTCATTAGATGAGATTTCATTTGAAAGAGACCTCTCTAGCAATACAATAACCTAGATTCTTAAGCCAACAAAGAATTTTCAGTAAATTCCTCTACTACACTCCTCACTATATTTTTAGTACTTACTGGTCATTAGCCCAAATCATAACATTGGCTCACATACAACATACTCAAACTATGCTGTTGTCAAATAAATACTTTAGAAAATACAGTCTAGTTAATCCAAATCATTTTGCAAACTAATTTTTTATTTGGATTAAACACAACCAAAAACCCCTTCAGAAGATTATCGGGTCAATGGTACAAACATGCTAGAAACTGGGTTACCACTTAAATCTTTCAGAAAAACAGACATATGGTTCAAGCAAGCTCTGATTAACAAGGACTCACTGCACTTGATTTTGGATGTCCTGGTTCCTTTATTTTGGATAGAAGGATTTATGCATATGAATAAGCAATGGCGAAAGAGCTTTAGTAATGCATTTTGAGCTTGCGACTTGCTTTCCAACCTGCAGTACCTTTAGAACACTGATACATCATTAATAATACACATACAATTTATACTATAAATGACAAGCTAGGAGGTACAGATAAAGATACTGACAATGTATAGAACTTGAAATGATCTCAACTTACTTTTTCTTTCTTGTCAGAGTGTTCTCAAAATCAGAAAATTCCTTTAAAAAGACAGAAAAGCTTCTGTGAAAATGAAGAATGTTTAATCTACATATAATAGTCTTCATACAATACATGTTATGAAAGGAGCTATCATAATCTTTTCCATCTGTGTTTATTACATACTAGTATATAAAATCTTAAATATTTTAGCTTAGGGATTCACTGTACAATGGGCAAGATATGTAGTCAAAATCTAGGTGGCTTGGTTTTCAGGAGCTTGAACATATACACCTCCTACTGAGTGTACAAGACTCTGAAATTAACACTTCCAAGCAGAACATCTCTGAAAACTCAGCCCGCATTACCCTTATCAGCAAGCAAATGCCATATTTGTTGAACAATGTGATTCCTAGAAATATCCTCCTAAAAAGTACAAAATAACCATATGTGTTAGGAGGATATAGTAATTGCCCATTGCAATAGAATGTGGCTCTAGAAGGGAGCAGAAAGATGCATGCTGTGGCATCTTTGATTACATGCATGGAAAGTCAGTGCATGAAAGACAGCAAGAAACTCTGGGGGGTGAATCCTCACTCTAAGTCAGTTGGACCCACCCTGGTCTTCAAGTAAAACTTAACTTCAGGAAAGGCCACAGAAGACAAGCTAGGATAGAACAGAATCTCTGATCACAATATTATTTTGATACTTCTTTATATAGAATATTGGAACAATAAATCAATTTCATGTCTGTTGATGCCTGTGCTGGAAGCACAAAATGAGGTAAAAATACCTGTGATGTACCCTATTTCTACTCGGCAGACAGTGATACATCCTAAAGAAGAAAAAGTAATATAAATATAACTATACAACTGTTTCCTCCCATACTTTCATTTTATTTTATTTTATTTAACCTTCTTCATAAAATAGCATCTATGTTTTTATATTGTGATCAACACCATGGAATCTAAACATTTCATCCGTAACATTTAATATATAATCCTTCTAATGGGTTTTACTATGGGAGGGGGCAATCCAAATGTGGAATTTATGTATTAAATGTTTTGTTACACACTTTTCATGTCTCTTTTGAAAGGTGAGTTAAAAGAGAATACTTTTATATAGATTGCCTGGGATTGTTTTAGCTGGGGTAGAAGGTTCTATTAATGTCCTGGCATTTTGATTATTATATGTGCCATTTTTAAAGACTGTTTATGTATCGGAGATTTGTTCACTGGTGCAATGCACAAATCAAAACAGTAAACAATGTTCAGTCTTTGCTTTGAAATACTGCATGCAATTTAAGATGAATGTGTTGTGGATTAAAGTATATTTCATCTTGGGATGCTCATATGAGGCTGTTCAGTAGCACTAAGAGAAATGGCTTCATTAAATTAGGCTCAGATCCTAACACACAGAAGTCCACATCACAAACCAGAATTAATTAACGCACTTTCAACTCAGGCAAGATCTAGAATTTAACCAGATAAAAGATTACGTTTTTAATGTTCCAAATTTGCTACTTCATCACAGTACCTATCAGGAAAAGATACTGTCTTCCACACAAAGTGCTATATGAAAGACTAGGGAGAGCTCACAGGTGTTAATTGTAATGCTTTTATGGTGCTGTCTCTGTTAGAGGTGTAGACAAAACTCTGAAAAAGATCTCAGTTTACTCCCCCTGTATATACAGTAAGTCCCGAGAGGTTGAAAGAGTAATGTTTTCGAGAGATTCCTTTGGAAGCATGGTGCCAACAACTGCTGTAACATATCGATACATTTTGATTTTTCAATAGTGTTCATAGAAAAAGAATTGTGTTCGGGTGTCAGAGATCTTAGTCAATATTATTAAGGATAAAATGCCCCCCAAATTCTTAGCGGGTTTCTGCCTCAAGCTGAACTGCAGCTCTGCCTTTGCAGTCAACTGTCCTAAAAAGAACTTTGTAAACCAGAAGCCATCTATTTGTTGTGATGTCAACTGAGAGATTATATTGACATGAGACAGGAGAGACTGCTAATTCACTCGTTGGGGAAATAAGGGAAGATTAATCCCAAATGAATATTTTGAGAACACTTGAAATTAGCTCTTCATGTCCCTCTTTCTACATTGGAAAAATAAGGTCAGACTACACCAAACTTCAATTTATCCACCCATCCAGAAATTAATTATATTTAGTTACAATTTATTGTATTATAATTCTAAATGATTATTAATAAATTTGCATATTTTAAAGCCAGAAGCCTGACAGAGAACATTCCTTCATTCTCCACTGGCACTGAACATGAAAATGTAAGTACAGATGTTTGCCTTATAATTTCAGATCTATGCTTCAACAACTGTTTATTTAAATCTACCTAGATGTTTATATGCAGTTACATGGTTTTGCAGCTATGTTCATTGGACATACTGCAACAGTGACTAAATATTAAAGTATGGACATCATCATCATCATCATCATCATCATGTTCCTATTACGCCTCTGGCGTTTAGGGCAGTGACGAAGCTCCTCCACTCCTGTCCGTTTCTGGTAAGTCTTTCAATGATTCCCCAGCTGTAGATCCTCGTGGTTGCACTGTGTCAATAGATCTTGGTTTGAGATTGTTCTGGGCCAAAAGATATGGAGGATTTTTCTGAGGCAGGTTGTATGGAATGAAGAGAGTTTGGACATGTCATACTTTGTCATTCCCCAGCATTCTGCACTATAAAGTAGTGTTGAAAATATGCAGCGCTGATAAATCTTGAGTTTGGTTTTGGTGTTGTATTTTGATGATTTCCAGACTGTATTTAAGCTCCTGAAGGTGTTCCTGGCTTTATTGATTTTGTTCCGGATGTCCTGGCTTGTTCCATCGTCCTGGCTGATGGTGCTGCCCAAGTATGTGAATGTTTCTACATTGGTGAGAACATAATCCTCTATCTGTACTGGTGATGGTGAGGAAATATTAAAGGTCATGATATCTGTCTTATTGCAGTTGATTTTCAGTCCAATTTGCTGACTGAATGCGTTGAGTTGAGTTGTTTTTTCTTGTATATGGTGTTGGGTATGTGATAGGAGAGCAACATCATTTGCGAAGTCCAGGTCTTCAAGGGATGAGAAGAGTGTCCATTTAATGCTTCTTGGCATGTCTTCTGTTGTATGCCGCATAGTCGATGGCAATGTTGAAGAGGATTGCAGACAGGACACACCCTTGACGAACTCCTGTTTTGACTTCAAAACTGAGCTCACTGTGATCAACACTGCATGTAAAGTTGAAATAGAAGCTTTTGATGACATTGATTATACAGAAAGGAATTCTATATGCCCGCAGAATGTGACATAGGCTGGTTCTGTGAATCCAAGGAAAGCCTTCTCAAAGTCTATGAAATTTATGTAGAGTTGCCATTGCCATTCTAAGCACTGTTCTATTATGTTTTATAGAATGAAGATCTGGTATATATATCCACGCCCTTTCCGAAAACCAGCTTGCTCTTTTCTAAGAACACTATCAACTGCCTCTTATATACGCTGGACTATGATCTTACACAATACTTTACTTGGCACAGACAAAAGTGTGATACCACACCAGTTATTACAATCACTGAGAGTTCCTTTTTTTGGTATCTTCACTATAACCCCATTGATCCACTCATCTGGCACTTTTTCCCTTTCCCAGACTGATGTAAATAGAGAGGGGCCAGGATAGATGCTACTAATTTAGGATTTACCTTGAACAATTCTGCATTTAAGTTACCCTTGCCAGGAGCTTTCCCATTTTTAAGGATTTGATGGCTTCAATGGTCTCTTCCTTAGTTGGGGTGTCTGTGTTGATATCAAGATCTTCTTCTGCCTCCTGGATGTTTGCTTCCTCTTTAGGTGGCTCCATGTTCAGCAATTCTTTGAAAAGCTCTGTCCAGCGCATTTCTTGTTCTTTTTTGGTTGTTAGTAGGTGGTCTTGTTGTTTGTTCCTGATGAGAGTGTTTGTCTGCTTGTGTTGCCAGATTATCATATAATGCTGTTTGTCTGCTCTCACAAGGTGTTTGACCTCCCGGTGTGCCTTGCTATACTGCTCGTGGTATTTGTCCTTTAGCTTCTGGGATTTTGTGTCTAAAACTTTTTTCTTCAGGGCTCGGCTGGTTTCTATGGCATTCCGTGTGCTGGGTGTAATCCACTCCTTCTTTCTCTTCTGCCTGTAGCCTAGACAGGCTTCACTGCTCTGTTTATAAATTGCTGTTACTTTGTCCCACTTCTTGTTGATCTCCTCATCTGCATTCCCCTTCCTCTTCATCAAGGTCTGCAAGTGCTTGAAACCTGTTCTTTAACTGCAGAACGAAGGCTTTCTGTATTTCAAGGGACTTTAGCTTGTCAATATCATAATATCTATGTCCCTTGTTTGGTGGACCCACACTTCTCAGTTTTAACTTGAGGGAGGCTGTCACAAGGTGGTGATCACTGCCAACATCTGAATTCCTTCTCACTTTCACATCTGTCAGTGAGCGTCGCCATTTGCCGTTGATCATGATATGGTCAATCCGGTTCTTATCTTAAAGTATGGTAGTGTTCTGAAAAAGACCATGTGAAAATTGTACCTACTTACTGAACAGACCTGCTTCTTGTCATGGCTGAGTCAGACTGGCTTACTTTAGGCACAAAAGTAAATAATTATTGTTTGTATTGCAGAATCAATGCAGCTGTGGAAGAGAGCTGGATTCTCACCAGCATATGAGCAAAATTTCTGGCTATATTCTAATCGCAGAATCTTTATTATTGGTGATATATGAGACAAAGAACACAACTTGATTTTCAGATTCCAGAGTTTTCAGGGTTGGCAATTAGAAACAGCATATTTTCAAAGGAAGCAAATGCAATGTAGAAGTCTTTGAGAGAGCCAGTAGGAAACTGTGTGGTGTCACTTTTACAGTCCCTTTTCAAAACACAGTCACATTTAAAATCTCTACAAACAAATTTGCAGATAAAAATGTGATACAGAAATTATATTTTTATTTACTATATAAATTAAATCAGTATTATAAAAAAGCTGTAATGTGTATTCCTGTAAATGCAGAAATATTCATTGATAGTAGGTA